TCCCTGGAATAAAAAGAAGACCTACTAATACACAGTCCCAATCAGGGCTAACCATTATCAAAACACTCCCATCTCGGCGAGATTGGTGACATGATTTTAACGCTAGTGCGCAAGCGCGGGCTGATCGAGAGGGGCTCTCGATGACTTCGCGGTTCGGTGAACAAACACAAAAGCGACGTGCTATAGAATCTTGACTGGGGCAGAGTTGCCAATCCCCTCTATATACTGTCCCTGATCTGACTAAGAACGCTGAATGTCTTTGTGGGAACCCTTGTGAGAATTCCTACCACTTCTTTTTCATATGTCCTCGTTATGATATACAAAGACGTACTCTTCTTTCAAATATGGATGATTTAAATCTGGATGTTGTCATTGATATAAATACTGCTCATAGGAAATGAAGATCTGTCGGTAGAAGTAAACACTTCAATTTTTAGAAATGTGCAAAAGTACATAAAATCCAGCGAAATATTTAGTTATGTGATATGACATTAACTCATCATATTTATATCTGATGTATTTTCTAATTTATTGTATGAAAAAAATAGTATTCATTGTGATCAAATTATGCTATTTCTCAATTTATGTAATATTTATTGTGGAGAGGGGATATAACTTGTGTCTAATCCGTTTGCTTCATTTATGCAATAAAATATGTTTAAATCAATCAATCATACCAGGATATGGCAAATAGGAGGACGAGTCCTTCGGAAGTATGAAAATGATCCTCGTCATGTAAGAAATTTTAAAGGAATACTTTTCAAATTCCAACATGTTTAGTTGGAACAACATTTGTACTAGTTAACCTCCCCCTCAGCCCCTGGAGGTCCACCATTTCTAGAGTAAAAAGACTTGATTCTCGTTGATTTTATGTAAGTTTGTCTTTAATCCACCTGTAATTTACTGAGAAAAGATTGTGTGAAGTTCTGCATTCTGTGATCAAGATCAGCAAGTGATACAAGACGCATTCCAAACTTTTAAGACATAACTGAAGTAAATTTTGAGGGAGATGGAAATAACCGGGAATATTGGCAGACAGCAGACCGCAATAGACCAGACAGCTGATTTGGGAAGCAAAGATCAACCATAATATAGACTTAGTGATTTTGTCCCACCTTGCAAATACATACGGTTCGATCACATAATTATTTGATTCAAAATTCAAAAATATCAAATTACAAACCTATAGGAGGGCTTCAGAAGTCGACAAATCAGGCCTGTCAAGAACATTCAAGCCATGGGTACCATCATGGATTTCTCCCTCACCCGACTTTGCTTCTCACACTATAGGCAGTCACTACAACTACAGGGCGACTCCTGAAAGACTTGTCCTCTAAAGCCATTCAAACATTGCAGCCAATCCATGATAACGGTGGCCGTGGTAATCTTTATGACAATCAATTCTGGTCAGGTGAGTTATATATTTAAGCATACCTTACTAGACATGAAAATGTAGAAATTATTTCTGTTGCAATTTGTTCCGGGAAGGGCCTTTTCAGGCGATTTTCCCCTGGCCTATAAGGTTCTATAGAGTTTCCATCATTGTAAAACAAACAAATTCACATTTTTTACTTTATTTTATTTTAATATATATATCAACAATGGAGCAATCAAGATGATGTTTGAGGAGAAGTACATATCATGGATATATTGTTTTGAATTCCTCCAATAAATGAAATTGAAATGTTTGTGTCATATGTTACAATGATAATGAAAAACAACATGTAAATAACTCAAAGTTTACAGGATAAAGTTCTGCTGCATTTTTATAAATGATAACCACGACTTGCTAATGGAATCTAAATAAGGGCAAATTATGCCTCAAATGGCGAAATTATTCTTACTAGTACCCGATATATTCCATGTACATGTAATACGAAAGTGTCATAAATTATTAATAAAGCTTCTGGTATCTTAATTTTCATTTAGCAACCTGGCCCCAGTTTCAGGAACCTTCTTTCGCTTAAGGAAATTCCTTATCTTCAGTTTTTCTACAGGATGGCATTATTTAGTTAAGGAAAAAAGTCTCTATGCTTTCTATGGAAGAAAAATTAATCTAAGGAATTCACTTAAGTTAAAGAACATTTCTGACCCGTGGGCTTGTTACTACCCCCCACCCACAATATCAAATTCACTTTTATGCTCATTACAGATTTTCAAGTTAAAACGGTTTTCCGTGGATTCAGTTGACAGGTTCCTACCTAATGTGCCCTATAAAATAAACCTGTCAACTTATAGTTATTTGTAAGTTTGTGCACTTGTTTGTAATCTGCTTAACACTTTAGAGGCCATGTGTTAATAAAACAATGCTTTTCCTTAGATTATCTGTTACATCTATCATCAAATCAAGATTTATCGGCAAAGATAAATCAATCTGGATAAAAGTTCTAATAACTTAAATATCACATCCTATACAACTCTTCACAAATACATATAAATATTTGATTTCAATGGGATTAATATATTTTCATAAACACATGCACACAAAATTTAACAATTGAGTTTATAAAATCCTTTAAACATCACACTCATAAATTTCCTGTGTTGGAACAAATATCATGGAATGAAAGCGTCGTTCGTCTATATGGGCAATTCAAGTCTACGTTTCGTTTGTGCTTGTTTAAAACCAAACTAGAAATTAATGGATACTAATCATTATTCATCAATGTAGCACTATTTCTTTTAGAAAAATACAGTTAAAACAGCTGTCAAAAAATGAAATTATGCCACTTTAACTGTAAATCAACAAATATTTACTTTTGTTATTCTTCTTCAAACATAAAAAAGAAACCATTACAAAATGATGTCTTGATTTTTTTTCAAGAGAAACTAAGAAATATTTGCAAGATCTTCTAATTTGTGATTAACTCCTCCTGTGCATTAACACAAAACATTAAAATTTTGGTGATCCACAGTAAAAAGCTCCAAATTCTATATAGCTGTGGGTCAAAAAACAGGTAAAATATACAGGAATAGATGAATGACAACAAAAAAATACTATAGTTGAAGAACACAGGCAAGGGAACATCAGATCTTCACAATGTCTTGAGTAACACTATCCATTTAAACCAGTGCAGTATACTGCTTCCTCTCCTAGTAAATAACCACCTGTCGCAAGTGACGCTTCCACTCATGTACCAGTCAAAGGTACTGCTACCTCTCCAAGTATATACCCATCTGTCAAAGGTACCGCCACCTCTCATAGTAAATAACCACCTGTCAAAGGTACTGCTACCTCTCGTAGTAAATAACCATCTGTCAAAGGTAGCGCTACCTCTCATAGGAAATAACCACCTGTCAAAGGGACCGCTACCTCTCATAGTAAATAACCATCTGTCAAAGGTACCGCTACCTCTCATAGTAAATAACCATGTGTCAAATGTACCACTACCTCTCATAGTAAATAACCACCTGTCAAAGGTACCGCTATCTCTCTAAAGTATATAACCATCTGTCAAAGGTACCGCCACCTCTCCAAGCATATAACCATCTGTCAAAGGTACCGCTACCTCTCATAGTAAATAACCACCTGTCAAAGGTACCGCTACCTCCCCAAGTATATAACCATCTGTCAAAGGTACCGCTACCTCTCAAAGTAAATAACCACCTGTCAAAGGTACCGCTACCTCTCATAGTAACTAACCACCTGTCAAAGGTACAACTACCTCTCATAGTAAATAACCCCCTGTCAAAGGTACTGCTACCTCTCGTAGTAAATAACCATCTGTCAAAGGTACCGCTACCTCTCATAGTAAATAACCACCTGTCAAAGGTACAACTACCTCTCATAGTAAATAACCACCTGTCAAAGGTACTGCTACCTCTCGTAGTAAATAACCATCTGTCAAAGGTACCGCTACCTCTCATAGTAAATAACCAAGAGTCACAGGTACCGCTACCTCTCATAGTAAATAACCACCAGTCAAAGGTACCCCTACCTCTCATAGTAAATAACCATCTGTCAAAGGCACCGCCACCTCTCATAGTAAATAACAAACTGTCAAAGGTACTGCCACCTATCATAGTAAATAACCACCAGTCAAAGGGACCGCTACCTCTCATAGTAAATAAACACCTGTCAAAGGTACCGCTACCTCCCCAAGTATATAACCATCTGTCAAAGGTACCGCCTCCTCTCATAGTAAATAACCAACTGTCCAAGGTACTGCCACCTCTCATAGTAAATAACCACCTGTCAAAGGTACCGCTACCTCTCCTAGTAAATAACCAACTGTCAAAGGTACTGCCACCTCTCATAGTAAATAACCACCAGTCAAAGGTACCGCTACCTCTCATAGTAAATAACCATCTGTCAAAGGTACCGCCACCTCTCATAGTAAATAACCAACTGTCAAAGGTACTGCCACCTCTCATAGTAAATAACCACCTGTCAAAGGTACTGCCACCTCTCATAGTAAATAACCACCTGTCAAATGTACCACTACCTCTCCAAGTAAATAGCCAACTGTCAAAGTACAGCTCCCCTTCATAGTAATTAACTTCCTGACAAAATGTACCACTCTACTCCTTGTAATTTACCATCTGTCAAAAATACCACTACCTCTCCCTTACAAATTATCACCTCTGCAAGGAACCCCAATGACAGGAAAAGGTAACTATTCCTTGTGATGTTCATAAATGCTTCAGATATTAGGCACCCCCATGCCTGATACTATGAGATGTTAGGACTCTTTGTTATTCCCCAATGCAAATTTGATTGTATACCTTTACATACAGTTAAAGATCATACACATACTATACATACATAACACAATTGCATTGCTTTCCTTCATCTGAATCATTACAGAATATATACATTGAAATGAAATAGCATAATATTCCACCCTTCATGAAACACAATATTGTGCTACCAAAGTATTTAAACATTGTTACTCGAGACACCATGAAGATATATCTATAAAACAAACACAAAAACAAATTTTTCAATTGAACAAAAATGAAATATGTCCAACATAAATAAATTAATATGGACAAAAATACCAGAATGGCAAAAACTGAATTTCATGAATGAAAAAAAATACCTATGTATCTATTGATATAATGTTAACTCATTCACCCCTGAAGACACATTTGAACCCTTCCAATTCAAAGGTTGGAATAGGTCATTATGAAATTTCAAGGGTGAATGAGTTAGTATATAGTGGTGTGCAGAAAGAAACCTTCAAAAGCAGTCCTATATTACTTGAAATAAAAAAGTGTTTTTTCGCTCTCCGATTTTTTCCCATAACTACCAGAACATTCAAATTTTTGCATCAAGCATTTTACAAGCATATTCCTGAGATTAATTTGTAAAGTATAAATCACTTTTAAATGCCAACAAATCTTACAGTCATAAGATAAAACAGACACTTCATTCATAAGAGAAACAGGAAAGTCAATAAAATTTTGAAAGCAGGCCTATATTAGTTTGCATCAGAATCAATCTATGTACATCTTATCTTCATCCCCCTCAACTGCTTTTATCTATTTTCAAGTTACTGCAACTAGATAGAGTCTGTTGATTAAAACAATATTTTCTGTTTCTATTTCTAAAGTATTGTTCTTCGTTGGTTCACTAATTAAGAGGAAATTGCTAAATATATTAACATACCAACTGGCAGAGAAAAGTCCCCATCAACAAGCGAATTGTTACGTGGGCTGCGATAGTAAACAAGACTAACATTTGAATTATGGTGAACCATTTGATAAATTTTCAATTGTTATCCACAGAAATACAGTAAAATGCCAGAACTTTGACAAATTCATCAAATTATATTTTCTCTTTATCTTTTTTTACACAGATTTACTACCATATAATGTGAGTAGGAACATCTAATTTCTTTTATAAAAAAACATCTTTATCATTGTAACATCTAGACAAAAAAATAAACTTACGAAAAATTGAAATAATATATAGTTCAGTTATATACCATCAGTAGTATCAGCACTTAAATACACCAAACCTTTATACACTACTGTAAAGTGTGTAGCAGTAGGGGTCATCTCCAGCAATATTTCATGTATCACAAAAATAGTATCAATGGCAGCATTATCAGGTTTATGTCACATGTATTACCAATTAACTCCCCATGTCTGAATTACCGTTCCTGTTAACTCATTCACCCCTGAAGACACATTTGAACTCCTTCAATTCATAGGTTGGAATTGTTCATTATGTAACTTCAGGGGTGAATGAGTTAATGCAGACCTCTAAGGAAGCAATACATAGTCAAAGTAATGTGGTAAATGTTATGTAATCTGCAATCGATTTTAAGATTTTGGGTGAAATATGTGAATAGAGCAGAAATAGAAATTGTGAGCTTTGAGGAATCTGTAGTGTTGGTAAGGAGTAGTTATTAAATCAACATTCAATTGTATACAGGTACACACCAAGAAAACAGCCTACTTGTAGTATCTAGTGTGTACAACAGACAACTCTGCCGACCTGCAATACCTAAATGATAATATGACCTCTGATACAAACATTTTTTTCTTGAAAAAAAAATTACTGTAAAAAAAAGAAGGAATTTCTGAAAATGAAATGAAATCCATACTGAAACTTCATTTTGTTAAAGATATATGACTAATACCATTACTTGAATTCTTATCAATTGAAATTTTTCAACGATTTGACATTGTTCAGTTCAACTATGTTAATCTGAATTATTGGACAATAACAATACTTATCTTATGAAAGTAGGAAATTGTTTTAAGAAAAACACACAAGAAAAGAGAGTGTGTTACAAGGCTAACAGTACACTATTCTATTGCATAATAAGCACATTGAAACCTTTATAAGAAACACACAGACAATGTAGTCATCAAGAACCCTTCCAAACGTCGTGTCATATTTAAGAAAAGGATCTTCACACCACACAAATATTATTGCAAATGTATATATATTCATTCCAAGAAATGTAAAAGATAGAAATGTATGTATTAATGTGAAACCTATGCAGTGACAGACAAAAACTGTCGTTACCATCTACTCAAATATCAAGAATAACAATAGCGGAAGTCAAGGGTGTACAATTTAAAAGTGTGAGAACAAGCCCGTAGGCAGATTGTGCAAATATCTACTAGCCCAAATGGCCAAACTATATTTTCATAGAAAAAAATGAAAATCTTCACGAGCACTAACATCGAATCTACTAGCCCCGGGTTATAGGGATTGTACACCCCAGAGAAGTATTTGCATGACTAGATATATGTTGCAAATTTTACCACAAAAGATTATCAAAATCATCAATGTTTTTAACCCAGGTATTTGTCACATCCGATGTCACTGTTAAATCGGATACAGTAGTATTCCTAGCTTACACAAATTATTTTGCCAAAAATTTTAAACTGACAAAACATTTAAAATAAAGGACTTCTCATACATCAGTGTATTTTTTTTTCATTACAACCATGCATAGCACATGTACTTGGTATTTTGTAAATGTATACTTGACATACCAAATGGTAATACAAGCAGTAGCATTCTTTATGCTGAAAATTCCACATCAAACATCTACCAAGCAATTCAGAGTGAACTTTTCCTACACCAAGGTTGTAAGAGAAAAAAATTGTCGACAATTATATACACACATCATAAATCTTGTGTAGCCACCAACAATATCAAATGCTGATGTTTTCTTGTATTCAGCTACTTGTTTTCAAACTGAAAAAAATGTGTCTCAATGACTTGTCCCTATACCTTCCCAGTCTTACGGGCTTACCAAAGCAAATAAAATTGTTGTCAATCTGCATTTTTTTTTGTGCAAAGTATAAACTGTGTTGCATAGTTTCACTGTTCTTTTTGTTTTATGTAAACATATAGTGATGCTACATTTATGAAGTACAGGTAATGGAAGTATTTTATGGATTAAGGTTATAAATGTTGACATAAAAATGCTGTTTGACAAATTTTCTAACATCACCAAAAATACTGTACTTTACTTCAAGTTGCTGCATTGTAAACTGGCAGTGATTGAAATTATATTTTCTTTGCATATTAAATAAAAGACTGAAGTGTAGAAAGATGTTTTAAGGACCTGATGATACCTTCAACTAACTTGTGCCATTTAACAAACAATACAATTGTAGCTTTACAGGAGAAAGTGTCCACATATGGGCCACAGGCAGCTTGTTCAGAGCCTAAATAGCATAAAAAAAGGAAATTTTCAAAATGCAATTGAAAAAAAATCTGAAAATGATCAATGCATTTTATTTGTTGTTTTGGAATCCCTATACTTTCAATTTTCAATTTTTGAAAATACACTGAATAAAACATTTGTGTTTGTTGATGAGCTATTTCGGGTTTTAACATTTCGGCATTCTGAAGTTACATTTCTCTGTGATTCCATTAGGTTTTCATATAAATAAATGAGTTGTTTTTCCTCAGTTTTAAGTATTTTAACTATTTCAATATTTAAAGAGCAATTAAAAGTCCTTAAATTCAGTTATAAGAAAATTAACATATGTCACCGATTTTCTAAGATGCCAAAACCATGTCGGTTCTAACATGATTTAAACTAAAGAATAGAATGCACTTTCCTGTACATGGCAACAGTTTTTGCCATCAACATAAGTTTGTCTTTTTTGGTTTTTATTTTCACTGGTTCAAATTTCTTGCAATTATAAAAAAGCTAGAAAGGAGAAAGTACACATTTTAACGATTTCTTCAAAAGAAAGTGAATCTGATAATGTTGTGGAATTAGAAATATGAATATCTAGGTCTTAGTAGAATTTTTCTACGTGGGACAAAACAAGTTTTTCGTCATCATTCAGACACTGGCATCACCGCTAAGCTGCACTGCAGAGGTTATGAAGTGAATATCATAAAAGGAACATGCACACAAAAATGAAAAATATGCAACATTCATCCACGACTGCAGACTGTAAGTAACCACATGCTCAGATCTGCATATATACCATTTGTAGGCTACTCCACTCAAGCATAACATTTATATCTCTATCACTTCTTACATACAGCTTGTATACCATCTTCAGAGTAAGAAAGCCTAAATCTGATTAAAATATTAATCTCAGATGCAGGTATATATAGACTAGGCAGACCGTCAGTAGTTGCCTTCTCTCACAAATTCTCAATAGAATTAGGCTTTAAAACTAAGAATTTCTTTTCAGTCAGCTTGACCCTGTGCTTTCAAATAAAAGAATATTTCAGTTACAAATAGGTACATAGGTACTCTATAATTCACCTCCATTCGCTTTTTGAAGTTAAATATTTCCTTCACATTTCTTTCAATTTCACATGAAACTCAGAACCAGGCTTCTCCTGACCTAATTAATTGCTATGCAAGACACCAGAGTGAAAAATCTACTTGCAACTTTTCTATGTAAAATTTTAATTGCTTCAAAAATCCTGAGACAGGAGGAGTGAATGGCAGATGTTATTCCTCCAAGTGATTGTTGCACAAAAATCTTCGGTCTGGGCAGCTGGTGACACTCCCCAATGATGATGATTCAACTCAGGCTCAAGTAATGTTCATCAATGGCTAGAAAAAAATCTGCAAGAAACATAAAAAAAATGTATAGTTAACCGTATATCAAATTGACAAATATAAAAATAAAATCAACTATTGCTCCAAATAATAAGACTTTTTGAGGTAATATAGTAAAAACCCCGTCTAAAATATACCCAAATGATGACATAAGAACTGCTTTAAAATAAAAAATATTTATAATACAATATTAATTAAATATGCATTCAAAAGTGTTTATCTATTAAAATAAGTATATATATCCAGGTCAAATATTTAATTTCCAAATATTTTGAGAACCATGCATTGAGACCTCAACCAATATGGATTGAAATAAGGTTACCTCATATTTGTGTACTACTTCCATCTTTTGAACCTAGTCTTTAAAATCCATTATAATCGTATATAGATGGACTTGGATGATTGTCATTCCCTTGTTCAATTACAACAGATTATCAGTGCACAATAGGCCCAGAAATTACGATGAAAATTCGAAGATCATACTAAACTCTAGTCTGGATAAACCTCCAAATTTATGTTTTTTCTTCCCCATTCTATTTTGAAAAAGCATCGATTGCATTAGAGAAATCTGTGATCCAATTAATTATAAGGAAGTTGAAACAAAATGTCAATGAAGTTGCTATGCTAAAAGCCAAGTAAAATATGACTGCATCTCATTTATATTATATCATCCTGCCTTTTCCCTCTTAAGGAGGCTCCACCCTTTCGCAATTAGCCATCAGAATTCGATGAAAGTTTCACATGATGGTTATGTCACTATGTAGAGATGATTTTATGAAAATCTAAGCATTCCGATAAACTGGGGATTTATTTGTAAAAAATACCGAAAAAATGATTTTTTGTCAAATTCAACACTTTCACATTTTTTGAGCGTGTGGCATTGTTCAAAACTATTACAACAATAAAATAATGAAAAGAAACATTGCTAATCAACCCTACAAATATTTTATTTATCATAAAATATCTACAACATGTTACAAAAAGCGGTTTTTATTGAAACTATATGGATAAAAGTTACTAAATACAAGCCAAAATCAAACAGGACACATAGTTACATACAAAAAAAAGTGAAAAATTGAACCAAATACACACAAAGTCTTTATAATTAATTTATTTTACATTTTACAATTATTTTGATCCTGATGAGAGTTGTCTACCTTGAAAAAAATCGGAACTTTTTGCAGAGGGATAGAATTTATACAATGACACTTATTTTATTTAATATACCAAAAACGACGGAAACAAATTAAATTACTATATTTATTTGTCAATTTACTGTTCTTTTATGGAACAAAATTACTCTCAATCATGTACACTTTGGACATCATTCCATAGCCTGCTTATGCATTATATATTAACATGTCAGGTACATATGTAACCATAGGCTATCGCATGGTATGCCGTTATTACGTGCACGCACATATGCACTTGCATTTTATAGGGATCTTGATATTTTACAAACCACTATTTTCACAGAGTTATTGTAATTGCATTTGTGAAGCGATTTATCTGACAGAGCGTAACTCGCTCGACAACAAAAGTCGTAGCGACCAAGCGCTTGTGAACTACTGTTAGCATGTGATACGTACAGGCGAGGTCGGTAAACAAAACACATCAGTCTGCATTCCAGGCGCCTCATATACGACCTTCTTGAAGTCGTCTGATCGTATGTCAGTGTTTTCCCGTGAGTTAATTAATGTCTTTGTATCATAAGCTTTATTTCTGAAGTACGTGTGATTATACATTTCCAAGTTAAGTCTAGATATCGGGTGTTGACATATCACGTCACGCACGTGTACTATTGTTTACCCGGTGTTACTATAATTTAGACTACGGTAATGGAATGCCCGATACGCAATACGGAAATGACGACACGAAAATACGACAAGAAAAACATGTGTATTACGAAGGGTGGAAACTCCTTAATCAACCAAACAGAAAACGACTTACCTGTTACTTATTCCCTATCACAAATCATCCTAACAGAAAACGACTTACCTGTTACTTATTCCCTATCACAAATCATCCTGACTTTTTCTCACACATTGCGTTATCCTTCTCCTAAATTCTGCTGGTTCCTCTCGCCACATTTTCTACAGGTAAGATACCATAAGACATGTTATAAATGCTGGTTTTCAGGTGCAAAGTTTCACCAAAATGTCTTAAGATATGCATTCAGCAGTGAAAACAAATACATACACTGTCTAGTCCTCAGAGTGTCATTGTTAGGGATAAATGTTCAAGGAAATATGAAAAACATTTTACTTACTTGATCAGGTTTCGAAGTTTAGAGATTGTGAACAATTCAAAAATGTGAAAGTTTTGAGAATGTGAAAGAAGAATAAATATAATAATGAGTACATGTCAAGTATATAAACTTTTACTTTCACAATCAACTTGGAATATAATAGAAAATTTGAATTTGTAAATACTAAAGAATTTGAAGTAAAATTTAAAAATCTAAAAATACTCGAAATGTGAAGTCAAGAATGGTCTATATTAACAATAAATTTTAAGTTTGTTTGTTCAAACATAAACAGTTATTGAAAACTGATATAGCGAGCTTTCGAAAATGTCCGTCTCCTGTGCTAGTAGGCATGGGTTAATTACGGGATCCAGGGGCCAAACATCTCAAACTTTTATAGAGGGTATTCATTTATTCATAGAGTGCATCAATATTATTCATCTCAGAAAACCCATAAAGTAAGCAAAGTATTGCAAGCAATCTGCAATTCACCTTCTTATAACTGTATATAGTGGGTATATATATAAAGGTACCCACATTCATACAAATTATTGGCAAATTTAGGAGGCACAGTAGTCTAGTGGTAGGACGCAGGGCTCGTGACCGAATGGTTGTGGGTTCGAGTCACGGCACGGCACTGTGTTGTATCTTTGAGCAAGATACTTTACTCCGCTTGTTCCAGTCTACTCAGCTGTAAATGAGTATGTGGTTGGGCAGTGCTAGAATTGATGAATGCTAGCTGTGAGCGCCGAAATGGCAACACAGACTGTATGCTCCCCAGGGAGTTGAGAAAGATATTGGCTGGTTGCAAACGCCCAATAACCATAGATAATAATTTGTGAACCGCTTTGAGACGACCTACGAACTAGGTTGTGATAAATAGATATATAAGAACCTCAAATTATTATTATTATTATGTGAAAATCAGATTACTCAAGTGGCCATAACTCTGTATACAGTGGGCTATGAGACCCAATTTTAGTACACGAAACTCCTATTTATTAAGGGATGATGCGATATGATATTCAGCAATTATAAGATTTGTATGTAACAAAGTAATTGGGATCTTTCTATGGGTATTTCCCCAGAAATAATTGCCTTAAGAACGCAAACCTATAGTTCCCTTCAATAATATCACCAGTGGGGGAGTTTTTTGGTTTGTGTCTAATCATCACTTTTAAGTACTGATGACACCATGTCAGATAACTGGTCTCCAAAGTGCCATACATGACATCAATGAAAACAGTTATGTATGAATGCATTATAAAGAACACTTGGTATAATAACCAGGAGGTTGTCATTTACAATGTAACCTTTTTTTACAAATGAGTACATACATTTTTCTGATAGCATATTTTACCCATGTATAATAATAAGCCAAGGCCTTATATACAACTAGCTTTGAATAAGGGTATGAATAGGCACTGGGCAAAATCCTGAACTTGACAAAGTATACAGGAAGTGTATACTTCAAAATGTGACACTGATCTGTATTTTGCTTAACAAAGGGGTGGATTTATTATAGTAATACTGAGCATACCTGTAATATAATCAATTTATCATCTAAATATATACATTTTTATCTAAAAAAACATTTCAGGATAGTGCATGTTCACTGACCCTTCCCATCACAAAATGAACTCCGAGATGAGGACATTCCTTACAAGGGTTTTTGTTTTTGTTGTTTTGATTTTCTTATTTATAGAAAATAAATTAAAACCTTAAATTGTCAAAGTTAACTTATTTTGCTTTGGTAGTTAATTCATATCATTATTTGTGCAAACTTATATTAGTGTTATGAAGACATTGTATAATACTGGTTTTATTATAGTGGGAAATCAACACACCCCAGTTCCTGTATACAGGGATTCTTCAGCAGAAAGAAGCTTATTTACTCTTTGCTTACAGGGAATCATCGGTGAAAGGGCTAATAAATCAAACAAAATAGTTCTACTTACTGCAGCATCTACATTAGCTGGTGATTCATCATTGGGGTCAGCTAACATTGAGATAACACTAAGTAAAATTGTCTCTACAGTATGCACCGGTAACCATCTTTCTGCTGCTGTTTCATATCCATATTTATCATCCCCAGGCTCGTGCAGAATAGAAATACACACATTCCCGTCTTCTCCAACTGGAATGAAACACCAACATTAAATGTGTTATATGTATATACCTATTCAATAATGTGACAAGGAAATAGAATATTTAAATAAAATATTAAGATGTTTTCCTGTTGCATCCACTACTATGAATTAAAAGTTTAAAATCTAAGTTTGTTAATTTCCAAGAGTTATCAAGTCGACAAGTGTTATATTACAATTTGAAATGAACATGATAATCCACCTATCAGGAGTGTAGGGCCTTTTTCTCCCATGACCTTTATAGTATTACTCCAAAACCATGTTTTTCTTGTCAATACATATTTCCTTGATTGTTACAGAAAAAAATTGCCATGAACCATGACATCACAATAGAAGATGCCAGCCAAAACTCAAAGCATTGTGATGTTTCATCGTAAATAAAAGACTGCCCAATGAAATTACTTCGTCCAGGTTGAAATACCAATATGAAGATTACTAGTTCACTGTAACATGAAATATTAGCCCTCTCTGCATGTTACAATAAGTGGTTATTGAGAGTCCTACATTCTATTTTTAACTTACTATTTGGATGCCACATCGGCGACATGAAAATCATCTTTGGAGGTTTCTGAGGATATTCTTTAGGGAAATTGAGGTGTGCCTTAAAGTATCCTCCCTCACTGTAAAACAACAACATCTTATCATACAGACAAATTTCAAGTATTCTGTAATACATGTCCTACATACTATTTCATACTATTAGTGCAGCGTGTGTTAAACAAAAGTGTACTATATTCTAGCTAGAACATGATCAAGTTCCATAAAACATGCTGGACTATTGGTCCTGACCAGCATTGACATGTTTGACACCATCATCAATTGTCCTTACTCCTAGTCATGACATAACTAGGAGTACAGACATCAGTTTCATAACCAAATAATCAAGCCATCAGAATTCATGTACAAGATGGGTTTTTTTTTTTTTATCTTTGAGGATAATTTGACATTCACATATATACAAAGTTTCAAAAAGAAATCTTGAAACAACGAAAATGTGTTAATTATGGATGTAATTTTAAAAGAATTCACAATATGATTCTATAACTCAGGACACAAATAAAAAGGAATTAAATCATCATCGTTTGATTATTGAAAAATGAAATTTAACGATTTTCTGTCTGACTTGCTTTCTTCTTGTTTCCTTGGTATTAAACTAAAACATTGTTTACATGTACAGTTTATTATACTGAAACTTACTTTTAGTGATGGGCTGGTGATCGATTATAATAAAAAAAAATATCAGTTTGGCCTCCAATTCCCATTATCGATTAAATTTCATAATCAATATTATCAGTTCATCACTGAAATCAAAGTATTTAAACATCTTCCGTGTAAAGCATGCTTTGAAAGTCATATTCTTATGATTTTTACATTATGATTGATAAAAATGCATTAAAGTTGCTTAATATCCATTCATTATAAAAGAACAAAACCTAGTGTGTAGCTAACAAATCTGTCTATTGATGTTATAGTAGTGTTTATTTGGGTGTTCAGTCCCAAAAAATTATGAACCAATTATGCAATCAATCGTTCATTGATTGGTTTACTACTTTCTATTACAAACCGGTTATCGATTATTGACTTTTAAACCGATTGTTAACCACTACTTACTATGGAGTATCTTGTGGGCCATATATCATGACCTCCCATTTGAATATATCATCATCATCGACCAAGCCTGCTGAGAATCCCTCCACAGGATTTTTGTTTAACTCTATAAAAAGGAAAAAAACATGTTTATTAATTCATTTTTTAACCATAGTTGTACTAATAATTTTGCATACTTATATTTGTGAAAACTGAAAACACTAATTGGTGTCCCTGATGATACCAAGGCTTACTTAATTAGCAGCAAGAAGCTGTATGAACCTAGTGGGGTCATATTATGAAATCAAGAACTTTAAAATTTTCTGAAATTCAAAGCTGTCTGGATACTCAGGGTACCTAAGCACCCGTAGTTTAATCAGTTTAATTATAAACAGAGAACTTTCCAATTTACATATATATAGATTATAAGGGTCTTCCAGCTTCCAGTTGACCCTAATTTTAAAACTATGATTTGTGATTAAATGGTAAAAATTATCACTCATAGCGCCGTCACTAAGAATTATGTTTGAAGTTTTGTATTAGTGTATTAACATAGATAGAAATTTATATATTGCGCAGAATAATATAATGCAACAAATATTATGACATGATTAATTATTGTGTACATACGATTATACAGATTCATAAGGGGGGGGGGGGGGGCATTTTCACCATAAGTTGATTTAAACTATTATCAAAAGTTTAGTATTCTCCCTTCTCATTTGGAGTTTTCTAAGCAGACATTATATCATTTGTTTTCTGGTTCTTGTGCACAGTTATGAAAATCAGATCAATATCATGAGCAATAAAATTAAACAACAGAGTTACAACACCAATTAAAATTTTCTTATTGTTAATAGGACAGCCTTTTTATCACATTAAATTACACATTCCATATATTATATTCGGCTATACGAATCAAAATGATCCCCCGAAGTTCCCTGTCATCTTCCTCGTGCGTGTGTATTGTGTAAGGCGCAGTAGAAAACACGTCTGCTGGGCCTTGTCACTTTTTTGACCTCAGCACTGAAGTTACTGAGAGAAGTCTTTGGTGCTTATGTGCAAGGTGGACGGAGATAAATAAATCTTCTGGTAACCAACAACTAGACAATTATCATATCGTGTTAAAAAATGAAGAAAACTACATGAAATGTTTCTAGAACACTCTTGCTGAAAAAATGTAAACAGTTGTCAGTCACGTCTGCTCGCACATTTTCTACGCTTTTGTTCCTCTTTTGGTCAGTAGGATTGTCCCCATTGGACGGCGTGTTGTGTCCAAATCCGATGGGATATAACAAGTTCGTGAAACTCATTATAAAATAGAAACTAATATCTTACCAGCAAGTTGTCTTCGGAGTAAAATAGTTGCCTGATCGTTGGCCATAAGAAGAAATATTCCTTGTCACCTAGTGGAGATGGTGAAGATGGCTGGAAATGACTTATCACGCAAGCGCAGTTACCGAAAACTCAGCTGAGCGACACGGGGAGATAACCCCATGAAAACAAATAGACAAAAGGCATAAAGGGCATGCTTGTACTCAGCGATGACATACCGAATTAAACACTGCAGACACGAAATAACATTGTACTTCATGTTATGTATTTTTAAATTTCCAAATTTATTGCATTTCACATGTCTACTAACTATTTCAATAGTACAATAATTTTATAGTCTTTGATGTTTTATGCCGCCCACCAACTAACGTAACTTACATGTGAACGAACGTACGCTAACACAATTGGTACACTACCCAAATAGGTACATGGTCAGAAAATGGTTCGAATAATACTTTAAAATCAAATCTGAGCATTTTCCTCTGATGCTATTATAAGAGTTAATTATTCGCTTTTCCACCTACTAACTTCATTTACGTATAGTTTCAGACTTTAGATGGTCTGTGAGTGAATCACGCTGGAAATTACAAGAAAATTCAGATATTTGACGTCTTTCTTATTAATATTCTTTGTAGATCTTATTTCAATGTCATCAAATTATAAAAACCTGGAAATTACATATAGGTGCCTGTAAAAAAATGTGTATCAAGCTGTAACCATTTTAATTGATTTAGATATTAAACTTAGTATTTACCGAGTCCTTTTGAATATAACTGAACACAGTGTTAAAACATTTGTTGAAATCCAAAACCTTGAAATTCGGGAAAAATGGAAAAATGGGTCATAACAGAAGAAAACACCTGCTCATAGGAAATTCAAAAATTCCTTTTCAATACATTTGAAATCATTATTGTAAATGGCACGCAGCAACTCGTGTGGCTAATATTTTGATATTTTCACTCGTGTTGCGCACAAGTGAAAAATATCAAAATATTAGCCACATTCGTGAAATGTATTTGTTATTACTGAAGACACCATTAAATATATCCTCTATATCTTTGTTCTTTTAAAAAGCACGTGACTATGATCCAGGACAACAGAACATATTAACAACTTCAGACCAACCTAACCCAAACGTTAAAGGCGTCTTACATATGTGTTAGCCACCATGTTTTAAATTAACAAGTAAGATAACAGATACAAGTATCTCATTGAAGATAACACCTGTACTGTACATCAAAGATCCATAAACAAGGAACCCCACTGATACCTATTGTGGACTGTACCACGGGGGTAACCCGATACTCGCTATTTCGCTTACGTCAGAGTAATAACTCGCTGTTTGGATTACGTCGGAGCAAAAAGTTGGTTTTGCGCCAAATACGGCTTACGGCAGAGAAAAATTCTCCCACGATTGGAAGAGTGTTGCGGCAAAATACAAGATTACGTAAGTATAATGATGAACTATAAGCAACAAACTTGAAACAATGTCAAAACACTTAAACTTCATATCATGTGTCCTTTCTTAACCTTTTTAAAATGTTTTTATAAATGCGCTAGACATGTTATAAACATTATCGCACTTTTCAGCTTCAATGTTTATAACATGTCTAGCGCATTTATAACATCACAGAATCATGTTATCAAATGACACATCCTCTAAAGTTCATTTATCGATTAAAGATACTTAGCCATTGTTTTCTTATTTATAATCTGTTCAAATATATTACTAGGGGAATTTACTATGAATTTAGTGGTTTCGCATGGCAACATCTATCTTTATTTGAGGTAGGAATTCCTCTCAACAGCTTTAGGAGAAGAGAAATTAAGCTCCGCATGACCCGGGTATATAAATAAACTTTAAATTGTGGGTCATTCCTTAGCCCTCAGTTGGGTCGCAAAAGAGATTGCCATGTCGTAAATCCGGTGAGCTATTTTTATGACGACATCAGCTATGCCTTATTTTCGGCTACGCAACATGTCAGTTCAAAATATTCAAATTACATATAAAATTTCCGATTTTTAATTGAGGTCTTTGAATATGACTTATTAGGGAGTTGGAATTTTAGGTGACTACAGCATCTACTAAGGGGCTGATTGAACCTGAAGGGTCTTTCAGTGTTACCATTAGCAGGTGAAACTTTTACTTGTAAATAATCAGATTAAAAGGTGTTCTTAGAACACGGGTGATTACTTCTAAGGACTGGTAGATTTTTTCCAGCTATGTCAGCATACACTCCGAACATTCGAAGCCGCCAATAATGAGGCAGACCCTGGTGTACGTATTTCAGCTTCCGGATATCGTATACCAGAAACGATTCGGCACAAGTATGGAAAGCCAAGTGTCTTCCATTGTGGCCATTTTATTTTTGGTTTAACGACAGCAGTTTTAAAATTTAATAAAATCAGTTGATAAGTGTACCAGTGCGTTTTATGATACAAGATACAGAAAGTACGAAATTATATATGAATGAGTGGTTAGGATTTAATGTTAGGATGTTAGCAGGATATTTAAATTCATTTCCACTGGCGACAATATTTATGAAATGATTTTAGAGTAGAAAAAACACTCCTTTTTATCCAAAAACATATAAACTAAATTTAATTTCTTTTTGGTAGGAGAGTGGTTCTTAAAATAATGGAGAATATCGACGCGTAAACGAAGTGTGAACTCAAAATCGATAAAAGGGCAACATTTGAACAAAGGCATGGAGACCATTGAAAAAATACAAAGAAAATAAGACCAGGTGTTCCGGAAGGTAAATGTCTTCTGTATTAAATATAGGTCAAATCCTAGATAGTCACGTCCATAAAGCGAGAACTGGGGTAGTGACAACAAAACGACACTAATAAACATAATCATTAACAACAACCTTTATATCACACAAACTTGCCAATAGTAACTCTTGATTAAGCTGAAAAACATGTGTTGTAACTTTGTCTGTCAGCAATCTACATCTTTGATATCATGATGAAGTCTTGAGGATATGAAGTTATGATATTTGCAACAAACTCTTGAAAACAGACCGAATCAACATGGAAATACTGGGATGTTACTGTCAAGAAAGAGAAAGATCACAATAGGAAAATCTAAATATCCACGCTTATCGAAGCGTAGTTTCAAGAGGTCTCTTTTCAGTTTGAATTGAGTAAAGATTACCGAAAGTGACTGGGGTAGATGAGCCTGGAGTTTCCGGAATTTCAAGCTCGGAAGCTTGGACCTGGGGGAGGAGTAATCATTTCACAGGACATACTGAAAGAAGAATTGATCTTGAGCATGATGAAGCAAAAAACATTATTAGAATGTATTTATAGACATGAATCAAATGTAGAATATTGGGATAAATTAGACCATGTTCTAGATAATGCATGTAACACATCACTTAACATCATAATAACTGGGGATATAAATGTAAATATGTTGAATATACCTACTAACCACCATTTAAATAGACTAATGGTAAGATATAACTTTACAAATCTAATTAATAAACCTACCAGGATAACACAAACTTCTGCCATTGCTATTGATATTTTATTCACTAATAAAGTTAATCTTATAAAACATAATACAGTGAATACACCAATATGCAGTGATCACTCTGTTATTCATGTTACCTGTTCATATTCTGTATTTAAGCAAAAATCTTACCAGAAAACTATATTAAACTATGACAATGCAGATTTTGATAAAATGAATAGAGCTCTAAATGAAATAAATTGGGAAATACTAATAATCTTGACTCGAATGAGTTTAATAAATTTTTAACAGATTCTATTAATAATCAAATAGAAGAAAGTATACCATCCAAAATTATAACTGTTCGCCCTAATGATAAACCTTGGAAGAGGAATATTATAAGGCAAAATATTAGACAGAGAAATAGATTACATAAAAATGCTGTAAAAATTTCAGAAAGTCTAGAAATGAAGTAGTCGACCTTGTTAGAGAAGCTAAAAAAGAATATCATGAAAAATTATAACAATCACTAAGAGACCGATCTGTGCCTCCTAGTAAATGGTGGAACATTGCTAGATCTGTCATGAATTCAAATAATGTATCAAATTGTCTTCCTCCTCTTTCTGAAAATAATATCTGAATACATCATCCATTTGAAAAAAAGCAGAATCTCTAAATAACTACTTCAGCTCAATGTCAACTTCTTTTGAAAATCTTGAACCCCTTTCCACCCATGAAAATACCTTTCTCTTCCTTCTAGACAATATTACTATATCTGAAAAGGACATTAAAGATCAACTGTGTTTACTTAATGATAAAAAAAACTCCTGGACCAGATGGCATGATACCCAGGATAATATGGAAATTAGCACCTTCTCTATTATTACAGGATTGCGTAGAGGGACCTCTCATCGTAAGCTTTATGCAGAAACTGGACTTGAATCACTTTGTTGTAGGCGAAAAAATCATGAATAATTACTTATGTTCAAAATTTTAAATAATGAATCGCCTAAGTACCTAGAAGACATCATTGAACCATACCTTTACAACAATATCAATGTAAGATACCCACAAAGAAATACATGTAGCCGTATTTTCAATCCACCTTTCTGTAGAACTTAGAATTGTGCAGAGAATTTAACCTTCTATCTGCAGAAACTTTAAATTCTACTTCCCTTCAACAATCTAAAAAGGACCTGTTACAAGAACAAAAGAATTTTGCCCACAAAGCAATTTAACCATTAATAGGTTATATTTGTAGCTCCCTAAGACACGACCCATGAGACATTTTTTTTAATTAAAAAGGTCCCCAGGCCCTGTGCTATGAACTATTTAGTGCCGCCTTCCAAAAGTGTACGACAGGGTTCACTTTTTTCTCCATAAAACTGTCAAAACAATGCTTTACGCTACCAAATAATATTACATTATATAAAGTAGGATCTACTGCAAATTATGAACTCAAATATGTAACAAAACATTGCATAATAAAGAAGTTATAAAATCTTAAACTCTAAAAATGTTGGTATTTTCATACACTTTTTTGCTACATCAATTGTTTTACGGAAGTAAAACACCAATTTCCGGTTCTTGTACACCAACAATCTTTTAATATTATTTGGTGCATTATGTTGAGATACGATAGTGAAAATTTCAGAAAATTTGAGAACCGGTAAATTTGTCATATAAATGTCATATTGTAGCAACGTC